GAAGGTCGTTACGTCACGCTGGCCTACAAAATGTAGTAAATCGTGACGTCACACAACTGCACGGTTAGTGCGGTGACTGGGCAACCGGCTGCCGTGCAACGTGTCGCGGGTTCGATTCCCGCACGGAACAACACGTTGTGTGATCCACAAATTGTTGTTTCGGGTCTGGGTGTGATGTGTATGTGAACTTGTATGTTTGTAAACGCACCCACGATACAGGAGAAAATCCTAGTGTGGGCAACGTTTTAAAAAAAAAAAAATATTTCGAATCAATATATCGGCGAAAATATTTAATTTTGTAAGAAAATGAAAAATACGTGTCTAATGTTTTAAAATAATCCACCAGATGGACTTTAAATTAAATTTAGGAGAGTACATACCCAATTATTTCTAATGGTGCACAGTGGCCAGGATGCAAAGCACGGGTGACTCCCCGCCCGACCAAAACCAGGCCCGAGCGTACGGCGCGTCGCGTTCTACGCGGGCCTCAAAGAGCCATCAGACCACTCGAAGTGCAGGAGTAGAAACGGAGTGGTTTTTAGTCAGTAAGAGTGACTCTCACTTTCGCCTCACCCGGGCGGGAGAAGTCATTGGATGATTTTCCCCCTCAAAAAAAAAGCCTCTGTACGGTGACCAGCAGGTCAACCTATCTTTCATCTTCAACTTCATTATATTGACTTAGAGTCGAAAATAAAATGAATAAATTTAACAGATTGGACTGGGCACTGTACCTATTTAGAATTTTCAACTGTCGAGACATTCTGTACTAATATGCAATTTGAAATTGGAAGGTTTTCACCAGCTTGCCTTAAATATGTGCCAAAAAATAGCTCAAGTAAATAAGAAACTTTGAATGTACCTACACAAAATATTTAGTAACGAAAATTTCTCTTTTCTCTCGTCCTTAAAATTAAACTGTTGAATGTATAGAGAACATATATCCATATACATATTATAGAGAAAATATAAAATATAATTATATCCATAAAAAATAGTCCAAATTCTAACATCGTTATTTACATATACATATAAGACTTAAAACCAAATATTACGTTACAGAAATTATACGATAAAAATATTTGTAGAAGTAAAAACAACTACTTCCTTCCTTTCAGACCTTTGCATAGAGGTCGCCACTGTACTTTTTAAGTGCCAAAATCTGTCCAATAATAGTTAACTTTAAAAAATCTTCCTTTCGTTACATTTTTTACTTCTGCAAATAATACATTTATGTATTTATATTTACTAAATACTGAACTAAACCTCACTTCGTCCTATCAGCTATGTTTTAGCTAGACAAACTGATTTAGACTAATATTTAGTTAGGCACATAGATCAAGGCTTCTGTTTCGATGGGTAACATTTGTAAGATTTTGTTAAAGATCCTTCTAAAAAGACTATAACTGGGATTATGAAAAGCGTACAATAAAGTACCTAATAAGATTGGCAACGCCATTAGCAAAAAACCTTTATTAAAATGACATCGACAAAAAGTTGGTAAAAAATCATGGTAGATGTCCCACCCACACACACGAAGCGCTTCGCATCAAGCTTCCTTGTGCGTACTGCTAAGGAGTAGAATTATTTGCCACAGTCTGTATTTACTGAAGGGTATAAACCTGGGTGTCTTCAAAGCCCGAGTGAATAGGTTGCTTATGGGATGACGCGCTCCATCGTAGACCGCATCATCGCTTACCACCAGGCGAGAGGTCAATGGTCGGCCCATCAAATATAAAAAAAATCGATAGAATAATACGAATGTTTCCCATCACTATACAAAACGCATTTGGGTAGATAGGAATAAAAATTTTAGTTAGGCATTATCAACATGTCTAAATAAGTCAGTCTAGCTACGTATTTCTTGGAAATTGCGTATAAGATTTTGACTGGGTAAGCAGTAAGCACTCAGAAAAGTATTATAAAAAAAAATCCAAAATGAGACGTTGGAAACTCATGGAGAAAAGTCAAATTTCAACGCATCTACAAAACAAACAAAATGTTACCAATGTTTTAAACTAACAAAAGACTTGACAAAAAATGAACAAATCCAACTGAAAAGAAATCTTTGTACCTAATCCTTACTAAACTATAATTAGGACAAAGAATACTTATATTATTATAATAAAAAATATAGTATTATATAATATATCTTAACTTTATGATGTATGTACCTGCACGAAAAAATTCCTTTGCAAAATTACTCTAACAAAAAATAACGCCTACTGACGAATTTACCGCGTAAAAAAATTAGAGTAATTTTGCACAGGTTAAAAAAGTACTATTACTTGTTAAACCTGCCTCTGAAAGTACTATTTTAATTACTATAAAAACTATATTTGTTATTTATGAAAATCAGGCGACTTTTCTTTATAAGAAAAAATTAATAAAAAAAAACTAGAGTAAGGGAAAGTCGCTGATTTTGAAAACTCTAATTATTATGTTAGCATGCTGTTGGTGAAAAGACACGTTTATTTTTAAATTTGCATAGAGACTATTTACATAGTCGCAAAATCGCGATAAAGAGAAAATCGATACAACCAACCTACCGCCAAATTATAATGAATAAATCAAGATCTCCTGGGCTTCAGACGTAACCTCAAAAAGTAAACAAAAAGGAGTAAAAAAGAAATTTTTTTATAGGATGAGCCGATTACCTTATGGTAAGCATCGCTCAAAGATGTCGCCCATGGTCATTTGGAACACAAGAGGCGTTACCAGGGCGTTACTGGCCTTTTGGAGATTATGAGTTTGAGGTTTGTTAGGGATTCAAGGATAAGTTAGATTTGGGAAGGATTGTTTCCATGACCATTCCAGTCGTGTCGCTAACACACTTAAAATATATCAATAAAGATATCCTGTCTTTTCATCAACAATGTGTATTAAAAAAAGATCTATCTTTTGTTAAATTCTATAAAGTCTAACGTTCCAAGAACTAAACTCTCACACTAAACTAGCTAAACGTAGATAGATTGCACTCAATTTATTAGAATTTACAATTTTATTTATTTCATAAGTAGTGTAAGAATTCGTCTCGTGGTATGTGTACCAAAAACTGTTTAAAAAATATCGTATTTGTTATTACTTATCTGTGCTTGTGTATTCTTTTTCTAAAGAGGTCGTATGTCTTATAATACTGTTGTTACCTTTATTTATTTATATGTATAAAGTTTTTAACTCAGATCAATATATCGGTAGGTATTACAATGATTGTTAAGGCTCACAACAATCAAAATTATACCTAATCTTTGAATTCAGAAGAAACATTGATTTCATGTACCTAAGTACATTATTACCTATTATGTAAAAGAAACAATAGCTTGTCAAATAATAGCTAACGCTGGACCACGATTACGATAGAAAGAGGTTTTATTGTCAAATATCAGAAAAAATAATCAGTTTTCGACTTTATAATAAACAAATAAGTTTTAAAATGTATTAAAACAATTTAGAACTTAACGACTGAATTTTGTCGTTAACAATGTCGGGACTGCCGGCCCGGAAATAGCGTTTTTTTTTATTAAGGACTACGACCTTTTATCTTACTGTACTGCTACATTTTTTATTTAAATTTATAATAATTAAATATTCTTAAAACTGTGCCAAAAAGTTCCCATTGTGATTCCAAAAACTAAAATTATTGTTATATTGTAAAATAAATATATTAAAAAAAATAAAAAATGTAGTTGTGAAATATCGGCGTTGTGTTAAACAGTCATTTTAGGATAAAGTATGAGAGAATAAATGAATGCATGTTATATTTTAAAATTTTAATTGAAAATATATATTACTTTCAAAATTGTATGTTTTATTTACATCCCTGAATAAATAAGGTATTTAGAACATTAGTTTATTTAATACTTTATGTAAAAAAAAAAACAGAACATTGAATTTACAAGACTGGCGTAGTGTTCATCAGTCTTATAACTTCGACATGTAAATTCTGATCTCTCTGATTCCGAGTGGTCGCAAGTGCGACTACCGGGCAAGTGGTCTCGGGTTCGATTCCCAGGTCGGGCAAAGTATTACTGAGTTTTTAAAAAAAATCTCAGTACTATCACGGAGTCTGGAATTGTGCCCGGTATATGGCAATAGGCTCAGCCCCTATTACATGGGAATCATAACATAATTAGTGAAAAGTGGGTGTTACTTCTGTGTGCACCTCTGCTACCTTCGGGGATAAAAGGCGTGATGTTATGTTATGTATATAAATTCTCCAATAAGTTGACAAATACACAGAAGTGGCACAAGTACCCAACTACAGACAAGAATAAAACAGAGGTCGTGTTTAAATACAAACAGATAACTTACGTAAAATTGTTATAACTGGCTCTAGGCACAAACGTTCTAGTTGAAATATATTCCAATTTCCATTAGGGATGTAGGTACCTACTTTAACAAACAAAAGTACGAAATAGTCATGTTCACTGTGTTTAAAAACTTATTTAATTTCAAATTTCCCGCCTTTCCTTGACGCAAAGATTCAAATTTCTCCCGCCATTTTATCCTCAATGACATTTGCTCGTTCAGAAATTTGTACGCTTTCCTTCTTAGTAAACTAAAAACCGTAAATACATTTTATTCACTAAAAGTAATATTAATTCAACAAAATTAGGATTAATATGTACGTAAATATTTAATAATTACTAATAAAAAAGGAAAACAGAATTATTAAATAAGATGACAACTAACAGTGGCTGTATGCAGATGAGTTTGTGCCCGTGCTTAAAACTACAAAAAGTTGTTTATAAAAAAAAACTTGCATTTGTATTGATTTTCGCAGTTTCTATCCCAGATTTTTCCCGTGAAAATAGAGCTGCAGTTATCACTAAACAAATTAATTTGAATTGAAAATATAAAGAGAGTTTACTATAGTTGTGTTGGGGCGTCTGTATCGTACATTAAACCTACTTTTACGCTGTGTAGCCACCCGTAACGATCTTTCTGAATATACATTACATTCCCGTGGTGTTTTTCTGAAAAATAAGGTGTTTTAGATAAAAATGAGTTCTATAGCGCAACAAAAGGTCCTTGTCAAGGAAGGTTTATTTCAGTTTATTACGAAACATATCCCTAGTGCTGATTTAAACGTGATAGATGATATAGTTCTTACGTATGTGATTTCGATCCTGGAAGAAGCTTCGCAGGACCCGTGCTTCGATGTTGAAGGTGAGAAATGCAATTTAAATAGATTTCTAATATTTTCCAACCCATGTTTTGCCCTTGAACTAATTTACGAACTAGAATTATGTCATAATATACTAGTTTTGAAGTGCATCCATCTCATATTCGTTGTATACGCTTTGTTTATCGTAAGACAGTGGGTTTCGATTCAAATTACGTAGTTCTGAAACACAACACGATCGCCTTGACACCCAATTTTATAATTGGAACAAAAGAAATGCTGTATCTCTTTATTTTTAAGTTTAAATAAGTTTTTGTTTCAAAAGAGAATTATAATGAATATTTCATTGTTAATATTTATTTTTTACTAGCTGACCCGGTAAACTTAGTACTGCCTAAAAATTAAAAAATATATCTCGCCTTTTAAAACTTCCCTGGACTTCCACGAACATTTCAAGACCAAAATTAGCCAAATCGGTTCAGCCGTTCTCGAGTTTTAGTGAGACTAATGAACAAAAATGCATTTTTATTTATGTAGATATTATTAAACTCTGTATTTTATTATAAAAAATATGTGTAATGTTCTATTTAGTATTACATAATATTCCAAGTCAAAATAAAATATTTATGTTGTGTTAAACAACTCGCATTTCAGCATCGGTATATCCAAAATATCTTGATCTTATTAATTAATTAACTAACAATTTGAATCTTTTCCATATTACAAAATACTTAGGAATACCTCTGTCTTACTTAATCCATTGCAGAATTTAAAACAGTAATCTTATTTATTTATTTATGCACAACACAGACAGTACACTGGAGAATCCTTACATAGTAAAAAAACAAAGGCGCTATCTGCCGTCTGTCTGTCCCTTTGTATGCTTAGATCTTTAAAACTATGCAATGGATTTTGGTGAAGTTATTTTTCATAGATAGATTGATTTTTAATGAAGGTTTATATGTATAATACAGGCATATTGCACTCGTGCGAAGACGGGCCGGGTCGCTAGTACATATTTAAATAAATTTGAGGAACATAGGTACTACATATTCCCATAGGAATCTCTTCCAGCAGTCCTTCGACAGGAAAAACAATAAAAACTAAGATACTGTGTGTAACATGGCGTGAACAAAAAAAAATCTTAATTAAGATAAATAATAATATTATAAAGTAGCGAGTACTGAAATAGGTAATATTATTTTCTTATATCACTTGCTAATACAGGTACAGATGATTCTAAAACGTAAAATTAGGTACCGTTTAAATATAAGAAGTTCATTTAAAATTAATTTTCTAACTTAACTTGTAAATGTCTGATTATGAAAAATCCACAACATTTCTTCATACAAAAATAGTTTCCAAATATCGGAAATAAGGTCTATAACGGATTGAGTGTAAAACGGGCACCGGTGACCGCTTGTGAATTGATCTGTTAATGCATTACATGTTGCACAGTATGTGAGGATTATGGCGTCCGTTTTACACACATAACTTCACTGGTAGGCAGATACTACAGAACGCCAATTGCTACGATTCTTACATACCCCTTTCAGGTCCGTTTTAATATTCTTAAAGTTGCTGCAATACAAAAATTTATGATATATCTTCTGATTAATTTATTTTATGACACAGTGCTGTGCTGAGTCTTGAAAAAATCTAAATATATTATTTATCATCGAAAAGATCAATTCTTTTGGTTAGGTTAGATGCAAATAGCATCTTATGTAGATAGCATAGAACTACCAAACTAACCTAATCACCAGAAGGCCGGTAACGCACTTGTAACACCTCCGGTGTTCCAGGTGTCCATGGGCGGCGCCGATAACTTACCACTTACCATCAGGTGATCCGTTTGCTCGTTAACCGGCTTGTCCTGTAAAAAATAACTTTTCCAGTTATGAGTCTCATGTATTAGGGGGTGATATAAGGCGGACATATACGCTAGAGATTTTTTTTAAAGTGTCAGTCCCATCTGACATACTTTAAATATATAGCCTTATAGACATTTATGTTTTTTCAGGGTAAAGAATAATAACTAGAAAATAAATGCGTGATTTTATCTGTTATATTATGTAAATATAAATAAAGTAGCTATTACCCGCGGCTTCGCTTGCGTAACAAAAAAATAAAAAGTAGCCTATGTGACATATACCAATACACACAGCGCCATCTATACCAATAATTTCGTTTTCCCTCGAGAATATCAAATTTTTCCGGGATAAAAAGTATCCTATTATTTAATCCAGACTTCTAACTTCACGTCTGCAAAAATTCAAAGCAATCGGTTTAGTAGTTACGGCGTGAAAGCGGAACAAACAAACAAACAAACAAACTCACTTTCCGATTTATAATATTAGTATTAGTAGCCGCGGGTAATAGTAGTAAGGATAGCTGGCTGATGAGATGAAATGCTGAGCGTACCTATATCCCAGATAATCGAAACATTTTTTTAAAAAAAAACGTTACCCCGTACTTTTTTGGAGGGAGAAAATCGTCCTATCACAATCTCCCGCCTTAGGTTACGCGAGAGGGAGTGTCAGACTCTTACTGACTAAAAACCACTCCGTTCCTACTCCTGCACTTCGAACCGGAGCCACGGTAACCCGTTAGGCCTTCTGCGGCTCCGTATCGAGCATCAGCCCTACTGGTCCCATTTTTTTATGGGATAAACCGGTAAATAAACAGACGAATCACCTGATGGTAAGCAATCGGCGTCGCCCATGGACGCCTGGAACACCAGAGGCGTTACAAGTGCATTACCGGCCTTTTGGGATTAGGAACTTGAAAATTGTTGGGGATTCAAGGATTGGGGAAAAAGGGGGGGGGGGGTAATTAGGCCTCCGGTAACCTCACTCACACGACGAAACACAACGAAAGCGTTGTTTCACGTCGGTCTTCTGTGAGGCCGTGGTATCACTCCGGTCAAGCCGGCTCATTCATGCCAAAGCATGGCATGTCACTTTAAAATTGCCCCATACTAGTATTTTTTAACATTTACGAGTAAAAGTGCATTTTATTAAACTATCTACAATGTTACTTAATCATAATATCGCGAGTCGCGGAGAACCTAACGGGTTACCGGGGCTCCGGCTCGAAGTGCAGGAGAAGGAACGGGGTGGTTTTTAGCCAGTAAGAGTCTGACACTCCCTCCCGCCTCACGCAGGCAGGAGCAGTCATTCGATGACTTTACCCCGTTAAAAAAGGTAATATAGGTATACCTACCTACTAAAAAGGTAGACAAAAACCCATTAGCCGTGCACAAACCCAATAACAATAACAAGATTTCCCCTTCTAGTGTGAAAGCAACCATCAATGAAATGAAATGAAATTGAATTTCTTCTAGAGTGGTTTGAATTTAAAGGCAAACTGTTGCCCTGGTCTTGGAAAAATAGGTCATCGATCCGCTGAGCGCCGGTTACAGGTGGGCTGGGATGTGTTAGAGAGATTTTATATTGATTCATAGCCTTATAATATTTGCTAGATGTTAACTCGTGAAGGGTCCGATTGTCGAGTGGGATAACGGCCTTGATGTTATTTACTGTATATTCTGTATGACTATGATTATGACTGCCTCGTTGGTTGAGTCGCAAGTGCGACAGCCGGACAAGGGGTCTCGGTTTCGATTGTCAGGTCAGGCAAAGTATTATTGGTTTTAAAAAATATTCTCAATAGTAGCACGGAGTCTGGAATTGTGCCCAGTATGTGGTAATAGGCTGACCCTCTATTACATGGGACTCATAACATAAATAGTGAAAAGTGGGTGTTACATTGTACAGTGGCATTAAGTGCCGTAATGTGCACCTCTGCCTACCCCTGCGAGAATAAAAGGCGTAATGATATATTTTGTGATTTTTTTATTGTAAGTAATTCGTCAGTCAGAAGTAAAACAAACATAATGAGGTTTTGTGCAACAGGTTCTTAAGAAAAGTATGTATAGGGTGATTCAAGGACGTCGGTTAGTTTAGAATCCAAAATATTACTACCTAAGCAACCTAAGTAATTTTTCATATGATTTGCTTCTATAAACACTAAAGTGGTAACATGTATTTATGGATTCTACAAATAAGCATTTATTCAAATAAAAAACTTAAACAAATTATTCCACAAATTGTTGTTCCATCCAAGAATATATAGCCCAGCCGCTGCAGCAGCCGTGCAGTCAATAATTCAATTAACGACCCCTTCTGCATATCCGTTCGAGGGACAAAAGATCTATCATTACATTGATAGCACAGTTTAGCAGAGTCGCGGAGAACCTAACGGGTAACCGGGGCTCCGGCTCGACGTGCAGGAGAAGGAACGGGGTGGTTTTTAGTCAGTAAGAGTCTGACACTCCCTCCCGCCTCACCCAGGCGGGAGCAGTCATTCGATGATTTTCCCCCTTAAAAAAATCTATTATTTTCTTAGTACACAACCCGTCTAAATATTTCTTTTCATTATATCCACCCAAAGGTTGTCTGGCAGAAATCACTATAAGTGATGAGACCGCCTTTGTGCCTATTATTATTTTTATTTATGTTTGTCATTATCTTTTCTGTATGTACTATATATATACATATTTTTTTAAATTAAACATTGCCCCACATTAGAATTATCTCCTGTGTCGTGGGTGCGTTTACAAACATACAATTTCACATACACAATGACACCCAGACCCGAAACAACAATTTGTGGATCACACAAACCCGCGACACGTTGCACGGCAGCCGGTTGCCCAGCCACCGCACCAACCGTGCAGTCGGATATATTATTAATGGTGTACAATAAAGTTTATTCTATTGTATCCAATTTCTAGATTGAACCTCTGAATATGCAACTGTTTGATATACCCTTCCTCCATCCTACCTTCTGTATTCAATCAATGCGTTTGTATACTGTACCATGTACCTATGCACATAAGGGACTATACAGACAGCAGGGGGACGTCAAATTGTGTAATTGAAAAGCGACCACCGCGTCGCGTCGCATCGATCGTATATACAGGTCGTGTTAAAAGCTTTAGCTGATTTCAAAACGCGTTTTGTTGAGACTATAAAAGAAAGAAAGAGAACATTTTTTTGAGGAGTGGTAATCTGACTGCCTCGTTGGCCGAGTGGTTGCAAGTTCAGTGCAAGGGGTCTCGGTTCGATTTCCGAGTCGGGCAAAGTATTACTGGGTTTAAAAAAAAATCTCAGTAGTAGCACGGAGTCTGAAATTGTGCCCGGTATATGGCAATAGGCTCACCCCCTATTATGGGACTCATAACATAAATAGTGAAAAGTGGGTGTTACTTCTGTGTGCACCTCTGCCTACCCGTTCGGGGATAAAAAGCGTGATGTTATGTTATGTTGTAATCTTCGATAATGTCTTCTTTCGCCTTGGGTGAAGCAAGAGGGACTATCATACTCTTACTAACTAGAAACCACCCCGTTCCTACCCCTTCATCAAGCCGGAGTCCCGGTAACCCGTTAGGTTCTCCGCAGCTCCGGAAAAGTAAATATTTCGGTATTAACTAAAATCGCGGGTTACTCACGTTAGCTCAGTGAGCTGCGCAACGTCGCCGCGACCGCGCACGCTGCTGATGAGGAAGAAGCCCTCTGTGGTTCGAAACTAGTAGAGCTTTACTCAGTATATTCACGTAAGTAGCCCGCGATTTTAGTTGATTTAGGTATTAACATGCAATAAGAAGAAATTAAAGATCAGAGTGTCTACTAGTACATGTAATCACAAGTTCAACTACTGAACAAGGGGGATTCAGATTAACTCTCATTTCGAGAAAAATTGTAATGTTAAATTTAATTTATAAAAATAATCGGTAACAGCATACACAAAGAAAGAAAGCACATTTATTCAGTATCAGACACGATGAAGCGGGTAATATGCACGGTATTTCACGGTATCAGTGGCAAAAGGCTTACCCATATAAAAACTTAAGACTATCTTTTTAATAAAGAACACTATGTTAATTACGATTAACGTATATTTTTCCTTTTTTCTTTTGAAAAACGTTGCTCCACCTCCACCCTAGGATTTTCTCCTGTGTCGTGCGTGAGTGCGTTTACAAACATACAAGTTCACATACACATGACAATCTTATACCTCTACTCTTATACTATTATATGAACCAGAGTTTGTTTTTTTGTTTGTTTGTTTGAACGCACTAATCTCCGTAACTACAAGTCCGATTTGAATAATTATTTTTGTGTTGGATAGTTTATTTATCGAAGATGGCTATAGGCTATAAAACATCACGCTACGACCAATAGGAACTGAGCAGAGCGTGTGAAACCGCGCGGAAGTAGCTAGTTTATTATACAAATGACTTATACTCTTCAGAACCCTCTACTTTCGCATTATTTTACAGTTTTAAAACCCCTTCTCCGAATCGGATGGTGTTCCTCAAACATGCTGTATACGGTCGAATGGAAGCAGAGCTCTCGTCGGTAGCTTATATTTTGAAACCATGTGCATATGTACTCTCCTGTTTGCTCCCCCCTCCCCACTTGCATGCCTGTCGGCTGCCCGTGTTTTTTGATCGGGGATGGTCAGGTAAAATGTTAAGTTTTGATTGAAATACGTTTTTGATTTAGTCAGATAGACTGTAGCATAGCATGGTGTATACTAATATCTAATTGAATATTTCAAAATTGGTATATTATTATGTTTTCGGCTTACTCGCGTAATTATTTAACGAGGAACTCGAATAGTAGAAAGTAGCAGAGCGATAGTCGCCGCGTCGCGGGTTGCTGAATGCTGCTCATGAATATGAGCCTCTAGCATGGCTTGAAACTAGTCGAGTTCCTCGTCAAATTATTACGTGAGTAAGCCGAAAACATAATAATTTATTTAGTATGTCTCGCGAAAGTTATAATACAAATACTGGTTGGTATAAGGCTTAATTAAAATAAATTAGATACTATAATGAGACTAATTACAAATGAACTGGCAAAAAAACTAACAAAATTAAACGTAGTCTCATTGAGGATTTTCCTTGTGTCATAAATGCTTTTACGAAACATCACATCACCCGAAACAACTATTTGTGGATTACACAATTACTAAACCTGTATAATATATAATCTATGAGCCTTTCTGCTTACCCCTTTAGCGGACAAAAGGCATGATATTATATACTGACCCTTTCAAAGCTAATAGGGCGTGATGGAGGACGAATAGTTCATTGATGCGTGTATTCAAATCCCTTTCGATCTAAATATAGGATTGCAACCCTGTGGTTATTTGGAATCAATCAAGGTCTTCGTTATATTGAAGATAAGTGCAGGAGAGCCATGCTTCGGCACGAATGGGCCGGCTCGACCAGAGTGATACCACGACCGAGGAGAAAACCATAGTGAAACAACGCTTTTCGTCGTATGACCGGCTACCAAAGGCCTATATTTATATGTTATCTGGGCCCAACTGCCCACCTTCCCCTCCCAGTCTCCCGAATACCCCACAATTCTCAAATTCTCGGTAACTCACTTGTAACGCCTCTGGGGTTTCAGGTGTCTATGGGCGGCGCCAATTCCTTGATCCGTCAGCTCGTTTACCGGCTTATCCTATTCCTAGAGATAGATAAGGAAAATCTAAAAGAAAGATAAGGTTTTGTTTTAAAAGTTTTTAATATGTAGTTATTATTGGACACATAGTTTGTTTTTAAATCTATGACTACTAGAGGTACATTTTTCTGATGAAAACAACATCAACAGCTCGAAATAGTCGATTACTGCAATGTAAGCGTTATCTTTATTGCTATAATCTTATTCATATATCTTATGTAGATGATCGTGGAGATCCACGTTTGGCTCAGGCTGTCAGATCGCAGTTTAAAAGGTTCTGGTTTACCAGAGAGCGCTCCTGCCCGGTCTCTGTGGCATGTGTAGTGTCTTCTTCAGCTTTAACGACACTGGGGATGGTAGGATTGGTGACAAAAAGGATAGATGCATAATTTTTATTTTAATGTCTGTCTGGTAGATCATTTTAAATCATTAAACACGTATTTTTTATTTTATTACAGAAACGAATACTTTCGACGATAGATTGATTTGAAATGTCACGTGACGTGACTTCTATGTATATTTTATACGTAGAAATGACGTTTTAGCCCCCATGCCTAAACGTTGATTCGTTTTATTTAAGTATTGTTTTATTAAACGACAAAATACAAAAATACTTATAATATTTTTTCATTACATAACTGACGGAATAATTATATTTTTAATTTTCATACCCTGTCATCATCCCTATTATATTTTACTCCGTTACCAATACCATACGGCGTCCTGTGAGATTCCACTTCTTCTGAACTATATGCCTTCCCTGATTCATAATCATCATCACTGGATTTGTAACTCACATTCTTCTTCTCTTCTTTACCAGGCTTTATAGAAATGATGTCAGCATACGTGCCACAATTCGGTCACATTGACGCTGGGCTGGTCTGCACGTGGGTCCTGGAGCTGGAAGCTGAGCTCAACCAGCGAGATGACACGGATTCGCTTTCAAACAATGGTGAGTACTTACCGAAGGTGACCTTGGAGCACCAACTATACCATTTATTAAGAAAATCGGTACAACTTCACTATATAGTATAAAACAAAGTCGCTATCCGCCATCTGTCTGTCCCTATGTATGCTTAGATCTTTAAAACTACGCAACGGATTTTGATGCGGTTTTCTTTAATAGAGTGATTCTTAAGGACGGTTTATATATATAATACATGCATATTGCACCCGTGCGAAGCAGGGACGGGTCGCTAGTAAACTATATAATTCGACCGGCTATCCTTGCCGCGCATGCTGCGTGTGATCATGGGTCCTGGCGTAGCTTGAAACTATTCTAGCAACCTCGTAACAGTTCCGTGATTTATGCCTTAGAAACAAAAGTGGTCCCCAGTTTTCCATAAATGAAGGGTATAATTTTTGTTTTTATTTTGTTTTTTTTTACTTTCGTTTTATTTAATAGTTTAGTTGTAGCTAATTTTAAGTTAGAGTATTGAATTCAATCATTAGTTAAATAATAATGTAATGTTCCATAAATGGGTGCTTTTGCTTAGAGGCACTGGATCATAATAATAAAGTAGTCGAACCCTAGAGGCAAATAAATCAGAAGGACTGCACACAAATAACAATAAAGCTATAGATAATTTCAGATAACTTTACTTTATAATGTGGAGAATTGCACAACTTGATTGCCCATAGTCCTTTCTATCATGGTACCACAAGACAATAGGCGAAGCGTCACTGATTCATGGTAGATGTCCCGCCTGCACGCACGAAGCGCTTGGCATCTAGCTTCCGTGTGCGTACTACTAAGGAGTGGAATTATTTCCCAGAGTCTGTATTTCCTGAAGGGTTTATACCCTTCCAACACACTTCACACAACTTCCTACAACCAGGTTATCCTGGTTGTCTTCAATAGGTTGCTTTTGGGACGATGTGCTACATGGTAGTCCGCATCATCGCTTACCACCCGGTGAAATAGTGGTCAAACGTCGGCACATCAAATATAAAAAATTCTCTTGTTCCAGATGACTCTGCTAGCAGTGATAGGCTCAGCCTTACGCTGCAGAACCTCAGCGAGATGCTGCCTCCGATGACTAAGAACAGCAGGTAGGAAAAAGATTATTAACCATATGAATATGAATTTGTCGTAATCACGTTCGCAGGCAGCTTGGAAATCGTAAAAAAATTGAGAATCTTACTGCGCACTTCTCGTTGGATTTTTTTATGGCATAATCCGGTAAACGAGCAGACGGATCACCTGATGGTAAGCAATCGGCGTCGCCCATGGACACCTGGAACACCAGAGGCGTTACAAGTGCGTTACCGGCCTTTTGGGGATTAACAGTTTGAGGATTGTTGGGGATTCAGGAATTGGGGAGATTGGGGAAGGGGAGAATTAGGCCTCTGATAACCTCACTCACACAACGAAACACAGCGCAAGCGTTGCTTCACGTCGGTTTTCTGTGAAGCCGTCGTATCACTCCGATCGAGCCGGCCCATTCGTGCCGAAGCATGGCTCTCCCATACTTGACACACTTGTTAATCTGTAGGATTTGACACAAATGGACAAATTCACATAATTTTATCAAACTTGTGATACTTCTTGTTTTCTTTAGCAGCCGATCTCACTCCAACTCGGAGTCGTCTGAGAGCGTGGAAGGCAACAGGCGCCCCCTGCTGGAGGAAGACGTGCACGCGGAACAGTGCAAAGCTCTCGCTGAGATGTTCCCCAATACTTGCGCCATGGAGGTAAGTCAGTATTTTTATAGAATAAGCTGCATGAGAATCAAGCAGTCACATCATCTGATGATAAGCAGTCAACATGGAAACCACACTTAACACGTTACAAATGCGTTGCCAGCCTTTTGGGGCTTAGGAACTTGAGGATTGCTGATTTGAGATTAGGGAGATTTGGGAGGAGAGTAATTGGATCTGGCAACCTCATTCACGCGTCGAAACAACGCTTCAGTTATTGCACACCGGTTTTCTGCGAGGGTCAGGAGTATTCTGTGACGGTTTTCTGGTCATACCGGCCCATTCGTACTGAAGCATGGCTCTCACACAATTCTAATCATAATAATCCTTACTAATATTATAAATAGGAAAGTGAGTTTGTTTGTTTGTTTGTTTGTTTGTTCCGCTTTCACGCCGTAACTACTAAACCGATTGCTTTGATTTTTTGCTGACGTAAAGTTAGAAGACCGGATTAAATAATAGGGTACTTTTTATCCCGGAAAAATGAGATATTCCCAAGGAAAAACAAAAGTATAGGTATAGATGGAGCTGTGTGTATATGTCACATAGGTTACTTTTATCCATTTGTGACGCGAGCGAAACCGCGTGTCAAAGCTAGTTCTTTCATAAACTACGTTTCAAAAAATCGATTTCAACCCCCATTTTTTTGAATATACTAAAACCTTCTTCCTTCTTTCTTTCTTTCTAAGTGTAACAAACACTTTTCTGAAAACTGCATCAAAATCGGTTCAACCAATCACGAGATAATCTAGCACTGACTGCACGGTTGGTGCGGTGGCTGGGCAACCGGCTGCCGTGCAGCGTGTCGCGGCTTCGATTCCCGAACGGAACAACACTTTGTATGATCCACAAATTGTTGTTTCGGGTCTGGGTGTCATTGTGTATGTGAACTTGTATGTTTGTAAACGCACCCACGACAAGATAATCCTAGTGTGGGGCAACTGGGCTTACTGCCATTGCAGCGGTAAGTCCCCTCTTTGAGGAGTGGCTTGAGAGACGCTACGGCGTCCTCACCTACCGCCTGACGCAGGTCCTCACCGGACATGGAAGTGTCGGGAGGTACCTGTGTCTGATGGGGCGGGAGGAAACGCCCGGGTGTCATCACTGCGAGGACCGCCCTGAGGACACGGTGGAACACACAGTGGGAGAATGCCCTGCGTGGGAAGCGCTGCCTCCTCGCAACCCAGCCATCGCGAAGGACACACCAGGCGTCGGGGATCGCGAGACGATCTCCGGCCACCGTAAGCGCGGGCCTGCGGACGGCGAGCATGGGTGGCTCCCCGTCCGACCAGAAACAGACCCGAGCGTACGGCGCGTCGCGAACCGCGCGCGCCTCAAAGAGCCATCAGACCACCACAGATGGGGCCCAATAGGGCCGATGCCGATTCGGAGTCGCGGAGAACCTAACGGGTAACCGGGGCTCCGGCTCGACGTGCAGGAGAACGAACGGGGTGGTTTTTAGTCAGTAAGAGTCTGACACTCCCTTCCGCCTCACCCAGGCGGGAGCAGTCATTCGATGATTTTCCCCCCTTAAAAAAAAAAAAGTGTGGGGCAACGTTTTTAATATAAAAAAGAGCACAAACATACACATACATGTCAAACTAAGATCCTCCTTTTTTCTTATTGAAGTCTGTTAATAAATGTTATTAATTTCGACTCTACACTATCTCCAGATCAAGCACTGCGTCTCAATTGGTCACGGTGACGTCGAACGCGCTGCAGCTACACTCCTACACCGCCGCGAACAAGGACAGTCCCTGTCCGCCGCCGCGCTGCACTCCGCCGCGCGGACTACTCCGCGCTGTGATGACAGCGAGCTCAAGAACAGGATCATTGCTCGGTGAGTAACATTATCTCGCACTGTCCTACACAAAGGACATTCTCCGTCCGCCGCTGCGTTACACTCCGCCGCGCGCACTTCGCTCTGTGATTACCACAGAACATATAAAGAAGGTGATGACAGGGAGCTCACGAACAGGATCATCATTCACTGTACCATTGTTAAGACAACTGTGTTGCTCCGTGAGTAACATTAGCTCAAACTGTACCATTGTTAAGACAGTTGTGTTGCTCCGAGAGTAACATTAGCTCAAACTGTACCATTGTTAAGACAGTTGTGTTGCTCCGAGAGTAACATTAGCTCAAACTGTACCATTGTTAAGACAGTTGTGTTGCTCCGTGAGTAACATTAGCTCAAACTGTGCCATTGTTAAGACAGTTGTGTCGCTCCGTGAGTAACATTAGCTCAAACTGTACCAGTGTTAAGACAGCTGTGTTGCTCCGTGAGTAACATTAGCTCAAACTGTACCATTGTTAAGACAGTTGTGTTGCTCCGTGAGTAACATTAGCTCAAACTGTGCCATTGTTAAGACAGTTGTGTCGCTCCGTGAGTAACATTAGCTCAAACTGTACCATTGTTAAGACAGTTGTGTTGCTCCGTGAGTAACATTAGCTCAAACTGTACCATTGTTAAGACAGTTGTGTTGCTCCGTGAGTAACATTAGCTCAAACTGTACCATTGTTTGAGTAACATTAGCTCAAACTGTACCATTGTTAAGACAGTTGTGTAGCTCCGTGAGTAACATTAGCTCAAACTGTACCATTGTTAAGACAGTTGTGTCGCTCCGTGAGTAACATCAGCCTACACTGTTCCACTGCAAAAACAGTGTTATTGCTCAGTGATTTGCTCTGTTCTAATTTTAAAACAGCCGTTCTAATTTTTTAACGAAAGCATTTGAAATTGGTCGTAGCACTAATTTTATCAGTATTTATAATTTGCCGTCTTCACTGTATTAATTTGTTTTTTTGTGTGTTATTGTACTTTGTGAATTGCGAATAAACAATTTTTCTTTCTTTCTTTCAGTAGACCAATTAAACGCAGACGTCCTGATTTTATGCAGCTTTTAATTTAATTAAAATCCCGTGTCTCAATTACAGATATTCCTACGTGGACAAGAACGCGGACCAGAAGGAGCACAAGCCGCTCGCTCCTAAGATTGAGCCAAAGAAGATGGTTCGGTACAGGGACAACAAGATCGTCTCGCTCAAGGGAGAGAGGTACACTGAGGTACGTAATCTAGCTAAATCAATCAATCTAATCATTTATTCGCTATATGGATAAATTATATTAAGGAAAGTAGATACAGTTCCGACCATATTATGCCTCGAGGCTTGCAAGTTCGATGTGTGTTTGAAGCAAAATTTTCTGGTACTCAATTGTAAAATAAACTGAAATTACGTTTATGGATAACTGTGTAACTTGAGGTTAGGCTAATTTGGTTCGATTCTCAAGTCAGTAATAGTGTTTTTTCGTAGTGGACTGATCTTGACTTTGATTCCCGGGTCAAGGATAGCTTTTCTCGTCACTCTTTTATAATAACTTATGTAGCTGGCGAAGATTGAATCTTGATAGATACAAACTTTAGTTTTAATTAATAAGTCTTTTTGTTTAATTTGATTACTGCTCACAGTTACACATTAGCACATTGATGTCGGGTTCAGACCCCGGGTAGGAATGTTGGGGACCTTGTACAATGATTTATAATTTTGCTGGCGAACTAAAGCTAGCGTTTAGACTTTATGTTTTATGCTACTACACCTAACTGGCGTTGAACAGTCAGTTGACTATTAAATAAGATACCATTACCGCTATTCACTGATATAAACAATATTCTCAAACACCTCCCAAGGTACCCAAGTCTGGAGTCGACGAGGAAAACTTGAAGAAGCCCAAAAAACATCACTGCCCTTAACCATTAAGAGCATGTCAGTACAGTGGACCGGCGGCACTCGCGCTCCCCCCACTTACGTCAACCCCCCTCCCCCACGCACGCTCGACACCCCCCCTTTACGTAATCCCCCTAAAAATCGTAATCGTAATCTCGATATTCGTAATCGTATACGTAGTCTCAAACGCACTTACGATGTGTTTTATAATCGTACGTAGAATTATAATTAAGATAAACTCATACTCGATTCGTAGTAGTAAAAATCAAATAACGCGAATATGTGTCAAAATTTACGTTAATCGCGTAAACGTAATTAGTGTATTTAGTGTGACGTACGTTTTCGTGCGTAATCGTTATGTACGTGGGAATATTAATCGTGAATGCAATCGCGTGCAATCCGATTATTTGATTAATCGTTTGCACGCGAATCGGTTTGCGTGCACGGACGATTATGCGGTGTTTACGTCGTGTATTTTATTGGTATATTTAATTAATTATTGTGATTTCGAAGTAATTCTTAATATTCACAATTGTAGTAACGAGCGTGCGTTCATGTGCGTAGATTTTAATAGTATGATTAAAAGGAAAGTGCGTGATTCTAATAAACAATACATTTCTCCGCTTAGATCCAGTACTGATTTTATAAAATTATTTAATTTTAATTGTATTACGTCACAATTTAAATTTATAGACTGTAATTTAATTATTAATTTAGTTTTTTTCGTATTTATTTTTAGTTTTAGGCTATTTATGCGGCTTTGCAGTATTAGTGTTACTATGGCATTGTTGTGGTCGTGTCGAAATGGAAATAAGGTTTGTGAAACAAGTGTCGATGCCATAGTGTCACACGGAGCCCTAAAATGTAGCTTCGCAACAAACCAAAGAGTAAATGGCACAGTCGCAAAGCGGCATTTTAGCGGCCCGTTCGGCCATTTTGGATTTCCAATAGTTTTAAGAATGATGATCTGTTTACCTGTGATTTTGTATCGTTATTATAATTTTATTATTATTATAAATGTGATTCTTATGTTAGGTGTAAAGTTTTTACGTGAATCTGTGATTGAATCGCCATTTTTGTTTTATTTTTATCCTCTAAGCGGTTTTTATAGTTGTTTTAAATTTGACAGTTGTAACTGTCAGTTGTCATTTAGTAATATGCGAAGTGAAAACTTGTGATGATATTATAATTTAGTTTAAACGGTTATATGGTAATGATTTGTTGTGTTTTTATTGATTTGTTCGTCTGTGCCGTGTCGCGATCTCAGAAATTGTCGAGTTGTTTTTTAAATGGCATTATGTCTAGCGCGGTGACAGATGAAGTGTCAAAACTAAACGACATTGTTTTTTTTTTTCAATATTAATTATGGTAGCTTTATGAGCTGGCGTCTGCATTATCATTTATTTCCAAAATTATTAAAATTACTATTTTTAGCTACTCTTATTAGAATTTTCAGTCAATTTTCAATAACATCCAATCTATATAACCATTTTTCAAAAATTTTAATCTTTAAACAACATATTTAAACATATTTTATCTACCGAACTTATAAAGCACGGATCATTAATAAAAATTAATATTTTTACCCGACTACATAGAAAGTCGAGTAATAGTAGTAGTATCTTCAGTTATGACGTCACAATAAATTATTACCATTAACCAGTAAATTAATTACTTTTAAATAAGTTCTGACACAGACTGATTTGTTTAATTAAACGCATTGCTCATGGAATGAGATATTTTGTGGATTGTGTTTATATGTCCAGAAGACGAGTCGTTGCAAAAGTGACTACAGAGCAAAGGGTCGCAGGTTTGTTAGAAATAATACTAGAAAGTAAAGCTTTACTGCCTCGTTGGCCGAGTGGTCGCAAGTGCTACTGTCGGGCAAGGGGTCTCGTTCGATTCCCGGGTCGGGCAAAGTACTACTGGGTTTTAAAAAAATTCTCAGTAGTAGCACGGAGTCTGGAATTGTGCCCGGTATATGGCAATAGACTCACCCCCTATTACATGGTACTCGTAACATAAAATAGTCAATAGTGGGTGTTGCATTGTACAGTGCCGTAATGTACACCTCTGCCTACCCCTGCGGGGATAAAAGGCGTGAAGTTATGTTATGTTTATTTACTTATAATATCTGGAGCTGCGGACGACCTATCAGGTTACCGGGGCTCCGACTCGAAACAGAAGTAGGAAAGGGTGGTGTCTGGAGCTGACCAGTTCCAATCGACGGTGCCCGTTCACGAACATTTGGCGTACCCCAGCACCGCCCAATTCAAAAATTTTGTAGGGAATCAAGCGATCCAATGCACGTGCCACCGCCAACGACAAACAATCTCCAATCGTGACAGATGCGTTACTGATCGCAGTTGTAAAAGGTTCAGGTTTATCAGAGAGCGCTGCTGCCCGGTCTCTGTCTATATAGTCACTTAGTCGGGTATACGACACCCGCGGGAATAGCAGGTGTGGTGATTAATATATTCTACTCTGACGTTACCACGTCTCATCTAGTTCTGGACATATAAATATAATCTATATGCCATTATTATTATTTATTTTAAGCATACAGCCTGGCTGTGTGACGTCTCTCTCTGTTTTGAAAAATGATTATTTTTCAAAAAATAATCAATTTAAATGTTATTTTTGAGATTATTTTCATATTTTCGATGTTGAAAATGTTGTTGTTTGATAATCCGATTGTTGAGTGAAGTTGCGCGGGTTCGATTACCATAGTAGAAAAGTTGTTGCTGAGTATTTCAATATTTGAAATACTCAGTGACTTTGTATTTCGAAAATATTTAAATAATCTCAAAATAATAGGCATTTTCATTTGTGCATTGAATTTAAAATTTAATAGTACTAGAGTCAATATTAATAATACTATGTAATACTTTTTCTGCTTACCCCGTTAACGAATAATTAAGCACAATGTTGGAAAAATGATCTCAAGCGCATCTAACGAGCATTAGGTATCGGGTACGATCCCCAGGTCGGGTGGAGAATTACAATTCAAAAATTATTATTTACTAGCGACCCGCCCCGGCTTCACACGAGTGCAATATGCATGTATTATACATATAAACCTTCCTTAAGAATCTATCTATTAAAAAAACCGCATCAAAATCCGTTGCGTAGTTTTAAAAATCAAGGCATACATAGGGACAGACAGGCGGCGGATAGCGACTTTGTTTTATGCTATGTTGGAATTTTAGCCGTAGTCGTCCCATTGCAGGGCAAAGGCGTCCCTACCATTCTTCCACTCGTCTCATCTTATACCTTACTGTGGCCAATCAATTAAAAATTATTATGACATAAAAAATGTAAAAAATGAAGTAAATCCTCTTGAATAGGACCTATTTAAAAAAAAACCTATTAACATCCGTTGTTAATTTTAAAGATCTAAGCATACATAGGACAGAGCGGAAACCGACTTTGTTTTATACTTTATACTATGCAGCGTTGACTTATAACAAAGTATTATTAATATTAGACTCTATATAAAATAACAACTCGCCAAAATTTGGTGCTAAAATCAAATTTAAAAAAAATGAAATTGCCAAAATGCGTTAGATAATAATTTAAAAAATTAACTCAATATTTCAAATATTTAAGAGATTGACGTTCCTCTGAATGAGAATGCTTCGCTTTTTTATTTAAATGACTTTATTAGTTCTTGTTCTAGGACCTATTGAATAATTAAATACATAGATAAATCAAAAACTAAAATGAAATAAGTCTCAAAAATTTAATATCTTTACCTAAAATTTAGGTTCTAGGCATTCATAAAAATACAATTTTTAATTTCGGAAGTTCATTTAAAAAGTGAATAATTCATTTAAAAAATGTAACTAACATTTATTATTATTGTATTGGTCCTAAAACAAAAATTAATATAAATAAAACTTATTTTATCTCTCTATTTTATTATAATGAAATGTTTTATGATTTTTATTAAATGTACTTGACAGTATTATTTTATTTTAAAATGAATGAATTAATAAATTGAATTTATTTATTTATTTACAAGTTTAAAAAAATAGAAATTTATTAAAAATGAAACCTTTTATTCAAATTTTACAGATCTTTTATCATTCATATGATATATTATTTAGAAATATGTTTAATATTAAAATATCAAAATATAGGTACATACATTACTGCCACTTGCTAAGCGGTTCAATTCCTAAGTCATAAGATTAATGAGTGTTTTGTTTTTATTAAAATTCTCAGTAATAAATAAATAACTAATAAATTCTGGAATTGATCCCAAAGTATAGCTTGCTATCAAGTAGAATTCATACACACAACAAAACTTATGTTACCTAATGTTAACAGTACAAAAAATAGCGAAAAATTTAAACAAATATATCAATATTCTTTAATACAAAAATATTTACATATCTTGAATAAATATTCAAATAATATATTTTATGAATGACTTACTTCAACATCTGGGTGACGCCGAAAATATGTTATATTCTTTTATTTACAAAATTGTATTTGTTTGACGACGTTAGCAAATGCGACTAGCAAACGCCAGTCTCAGGTTCGAGCCTCGAGTCTGACAATGTATTTGGGCGTTTCATTTAAGAATTTCCCAATCAATAACAGTCTATTTGCTACACAACGTAATAAAACTTCGTTCCTTATTAAAGGAAACATGAATTGTACAGATTATTCACTTATCTATTGCTCGACTGGTTTCGGGCCACGTCGGGAGCCCTTCGATATGAGTAGCATAAAAGTTATCGATGGCAGCTTAAAGTTGTGTTTACATTATAATAACAATTTCTAAACACAAACACATACAATTTTGTAAATAAAAATACCAAAATCCAATATGGCGGCAATCACAGATGCGTACAAACTCTAAATCTATGACCACGCATTTATTTTCTATGATTTTTTTTTATTATGAAATTTTTTAATTGTGTATGAAATTTTTTAATTTTTAAGTATAATTGTGTATAGTTTCTATGAATTACTTGTGTAAGTGACACCGGTTTTAATTTAAAATTAAAAACCTACATTTTTTTCTCTCTTCTTTGGCAAACGAGTCGCCAAAAACGGTCTTGTCGACTATACTGTCAGTGTCCAGTGGTGACGGCAGTTTAATGAACCGTCGAAATTAACTTTGTGGTAGTTTTTAATTGTTAGTAGCTGAAAGGACAAAACACATAATAATGGGGATGATGACAGGGTATGAAAATTAAAAATATAATTAGTCCGTAAGTTAGGTAATGAAAAAATATTAGACACGTATTTTTTTATTTTGTCGTATAATAAAACAATACTTAGATAAAACGAATCAAAGTTTAGGAGTGGGGGCTAAAACGTCATTCCTTAGTATAAAATGTACTGAGAAGTGACGTCACGCGACATTTCAAATCAATATATCTTCGAAACTATTCGTTTCTGTAAGAAAATAAAAAATACGTGTCTAATGTTTTTAAATAATCTATCAGACGGACATTAAAATAAAAATTAGTCGTCTACCCCATATATACAGAGGAGTAGAAAATAGTTGAGGGGACATACACAATACAAACAGATAATTATGTACATCATTTACATTATTGAACACCGTCATATCTTAATCTCATTTTCGTTGATATATTTACTTAAACAATGGATTAGTTCATGGGAAAAGTGAGTAAAAAGGAGGTGGAAACTGATTGGCAGTGGGATTTACCGGGGAGTTTTTGATAGAGGTCAAAGGATTAAACCTACATTTATATTGTGCCCGGTACGAGGACGTTGAAAAAAAATATGGGCACAATGCCCCTTAGAAATGATTTAAGCACCAAAATGTCAGTGGTTTATTTAAGTGTGCGTGTGTAATGGGTTACCACGTTCCGGATTCGAGAAAATGACAGAGGACCAAGCACGAACAACTATCGCATTCGTATCGTAACAGTATCGAGCGAGTTAAGTGTTCTGATTGGTTGGTTCACTTGAGCCGGCCAATCAGAGCGCCGAACGCTCTCGACACTATTACGTTACGAATGCGATAGTTATTCGTGCTTGGTACTCTGATGTCCTTCGTGTCAATGTGTGTGTATTCTGCGTGTAAGTCTATAGTAGTCAGGTGCCACAGTCGTTATTTCAAGAGACTGTTGCCGGAATACTGAAACGTTACTCAATTTTAAGTCTTGCTCAAATATCGTGCCATCTCTGTCATTTTACAAAGCATGAGTGGAGACAGAACTATACTTAAGCGCGACTTAAAATTAAGTAGCGTTTCAGTATTCTGACATGTGTCCGTATTTTTTTAAACGACTTTGTCCCGGTATATGACAATAGACTCACCCCCTTACATGGTAAGTTAGCAGCGCCCTGTATCCAGCGGCTCCAGCTCCATGCAACCTTAATCAGAGTACCTGATGATAGTGGATTACAAAGACTAAAATAATTCTTTTATAAACTACGTTAAGAATAACCGATTTTAACACCCTCTTTTTTTGAAGTCTGTTAATTAATATAACTAAAAGTCAGTAACAATTTTCTGAAAACAGCATCGAAATTGGTTCAGCCGATCACGAGATAATCGCGTAACCAAACAAACATACATACATACGACAGTTCAAGTTGAGAACCTATTTGCTTTTTGAAGTCAATTAACCGGTCGAGCGTCCGCGTTCCTTACGATCCAACGGGTGCACACGTGACATTTGGAGCATTTTTACTTAACAGTAACTAATAAACTTAACAATAACTTTATCTTATGATATGTATCTATACAGATAAATAAGATTGGAGTATCTGTTTGTAATATTGAAATAACTGTTTTTTACTACTTGCATATAAATATATAAAATAACACATTTTAAAATTTTTGTCTGTCTGTTTGTACTGGCTAATCTCTGAAATGGTTGGACCGATTTTGACGGGACTTATTGGCAGGTAGCTAATATAGTGAGAAGTATCATAGGCATTGATTTTAGCTAGGTCAACTAGTTATAGTTAAAACCGGTGTCACTTATATAAAAATAATCACGCTCTCATTCTCATATCTAAGTCCAGTGTAAAACAATTGTACTGAAAATATATCGTAAATATCCCTACATATGTGTTTTATTTAAACTTTAATTTTCTGAGGCACAAATGGGCCGGCTCGACCGGAGTGATACCACGGCCGGAAAACCGACGTGAAACAACGCTTGCGTTGTGTTTCGTCGTATAAGTGAAGTTACCGGAGCCCCAATTATCCTCCTTCCCCGATCTCCCCAATCGCTGAATCCCCAACAATCCTCAAATTCCTAATCCCCAAAAGGGTATAATCCCGGTAACGCACTTGTAACGCTTCAGGTGTTCCAGGTGTCCATGGGCGACGCCGATTGCTTACCATCAGGTGATCTGTCGGCTCGTTTACCGGCTTATCCCATAAAAAGACAGCTATGTTGTGTGGATGTCCAGCCAACAAGGATGTAGCGAGGTTGACTGTCCAGGCGACACACGTACTTAGGTATCGTCATGAGCTAATGTTCACATGTAAACAGCAGCTCATGTAGTGTAGATGTCCAGTCAACAAGGATGTAGCAAGGTTGACTGTCCAGGCGACACACGTACTTAGGTATCGTCATGAGCTAATGTTCACATGTAAACAGCAGCTCATGTAGTGTAAATATCTAGTGATTGATGATTTTAGGTTCAAAAAAAATAATAGAACAAATTCTACTTAAAATTATTTATTATCATTACTTTACAATAAAGTTTTAATTTGATGGTAACCATTTTAAATAATGTTAAAATAAATATAATACACAACATCTTATTTAATGTTTGAATGATTTTACTCGCAAAATTTCGTTATATTTAAAATAATTTTCAATTTCATGGCAAACTAAGATCTGATTTAAGTACTACCTAATTATAATTATATTCGAGACAAATATGATAACAATAGGGTGGTTGCCAGGGTATGAAAATTAAAAATGTAATTAGTCCTTCAGTTAGATAATGAAAAAATATTAGACACGTATTTTTTTATTTTCTCGTATTAAGTTGCAATACTCAGATAAAAAATAACTTTAGGAGACTCATGACGTCACAACATGCTACAAACTGTAACGTCACACGATATTACAAATTAATATATCGTCGACAGTGTTTAATTTTATGAGAAAAGAAAAAATACGTGTCTAATGTTTTAAACTAATCTACCAGACGGACATTAAAATACAATTTAAGAAACTACCCTATTATTGTGAAGACCGTTTTACTGAATAATCAGTGCCTTTAGCCAAACGCCACTTTAGCGCTTGTCTACAGAGAGAGTAGAAATCAAAATGTATGGGGATGACACTGACAAGTGTCAAAATTTACGTCAATTCCATATAATTTGGTTTTCTATTCTACATGTAGACAAGCGCTAAATGGCATTTGGCTACAGCTGCAGGATAGATGTCAACTGTCATTCTTAGGCACAGTCACTTAGCAGTATGTCTTGCCATGCAAGAAGAAAGAACAAGAAATGCTGATCGAAACATAAAGTAAGTAATTTTCATAATTTTGTTTTATCAAAATTACTAATTCAAGTGATTGATATTAATCTCAGTAACATAGTAAAAGTATTTCAAAAGAAATAAATACGAGTAAAGTCAAACATACATAAAAAAAATAACTTAGTAACACGATTTCATTATTTCAGCTGAAATTTTCAGATTCAATGGAACGACACTTTGTTCTTTATGCACATGTCGATGTTTTCTGAAAAATAAAAGCATTACAAATATATTAATTTTCAAAATTATGGAAAAGTGAAAAGTATGAAGTATTTTATGAAGGGATAACAAAACGTTTCTTTTTTTGAAGTTGGGTATAAAATATAGGGAGGATGAGCCTGTTAAAAGAGGTTTAAAACCAAACAAGCAACTGAAATCTGTATCTTTTATAATAGTTATGAGAGAGAGGGAATCAAATCGCAAACCACTTTCAGTAATACAGTTACTCTTAGCTTGAGATCTAATTCTCTCTAGTATTTATTGATTATTTTGGACCACACGGATAGTTGTTGCTCGGGGATCGAACCCGCAATAATTAGCGCAATAGCCAGTCATTGCACCAAATGTGTAGTCGTAATGGTTGAGTGTTAGAAAACACCTTTGCGCAAAATTGCGCAAACAACAATACGATTTGCGCAACATATTGCGCTAACAGTTACAAATGATATGAAATCATGCAATAAGTAATAAAGCCATGAAAAATGTATGTAATATTAATAAATTACATGCAACATACAACATCAAACATCCACGTTGATCGCTACGCAGTATAGAAGATATTTCTTGGAACTTTGCTGAAAAAAATATTCTAAAGAATACCATTAATTATTAAATTTTTACAACGCTACACTTCAAATTTGAATATGTAGTCTAAAACTATGATTTTTAAGTTCAAAATCAAATGTATAACGAACTTTTAACATGGTACCTATTTCAAATTACCGTCCAATCTAAATTAAACTTTATACCAAAAGAACTAAGGTTTATTATCAAATGATTGTGAATTACTAACTGATAATTGTATCACTTCAAATATACATAGGTACTACTTTATAAAGAACTGTATACCAGAGGTCTTAAGGTTCATAATTCCATAATCTTCAAACACAGATACTATGAAGTATTGCATGGACATTTCCTTGATCTTTTCCGTTCCTCAACTTGCTTATCGACCCGTATAATAAACGTGGACTCTAACAATTGAAAAGAAAATTAATATTACTATACTAAAATAAACTTTATTCATTAAGGCATAAGACTACCAACGGCAAGTACCAATGTGACTTTTTCCGAGTTATATGTACTTTCTAAGATTATCTAGACACCACTGACAAACTGTGAAGGAAATCATCGTGAGGCTGAGCTTATTATTTCTAATTATAAGTTTGAAATCGCCAACCCGCATTGAGCAAGCGTGGTGATTAATGCTCAAACCTTCTCCGTGGGAGACGAGGCCTTTGGTCAGACGTGGCCACTTATAGGCTTTTAATGATGATGATAAAGTATGGGATATTACAATTCTAAACACACGGACAAATAACGACTAAATTCTACAATAATACGACTACATAAAAATTACCAATTTATTCAAGTAGGTATATACATTCAATAAATAGCTACAGACAATAAATTAACTACTAAATGTTAAAAACTAAAAATGTAATACTTTTCGTTGCAAAGTACTAATATTTGAGGTTTTTCTTGCATTGATTTAACAGAAAAAGGGTAGTTTTTCTTGATTTTCCATAGATGGCGTTATTGAGAAATTAGTATATAAAAGTATACTGTATAGCATAATTTTTATTTGTGGGTTTGCTCGCGTTAATACTGACTTTAAACAAATATAAATAGAAATAAACCATTCCATCGCTAATTTCACGATTAATTTCTCAAAAAAATTCTATTCCAATCTCAATCTATCTCTGTACCAAAGTTCATTAAAATTAATTTAGAGGTTTAGGAGCAAGATTCACCTTTCTCTGTTTTATAATAACTATCGTGAGACATACTAAATCAACTAAAAATCGCGGGTTACTCACGTGAATACACTGAGAAAAGCTCTACTAGTTTAGAGCCACAGATTGAGAGCGTGGTGGGCTCGCAGCGCAAGTAACAACTCTGATGCAGGCGCAAACGCTAGCCAGTGAGCTGCGCGACGTCGCCGCGACCGCGCACGCTGCTCATGAGGAAGAACCCCTCTGTGGTTCGAAACTAGTAGAGCTTTTCCCAGTATATTCACGTGAGTAACCCGTGATTTTTAGTTGATAAACCTTTCTCATTCAAGTTTATAATGATGTTTTTATGTAGACTCAATATTAATATAAGGAAACGTTTCTATAACCCCATATTATCGAAAACATATTTTTTCTTAACTCATTTATTTGAGAGAATATGCAAAAACTATCATATAACGCCATCTACGGTCGGTTAAAAGTAATAATAATACTTTTTGACACAAATAAAATCTATTATTTGGTATTTTTATAATACTTTAAAAGTAAAAATTAATACTTTTTGAAGAAGAGCATTTTACTTTAGATTTAATTTTGAATCTATAATTTGGAAAGGATTACGCATAAATTCAGTCAAAGCACGGAATTTTATACTATTTAGGGACAAAAGGATTTTGTAACCCTTTTAGTTTGAAATTTTCTAATTTCGACTTTTAGAGAATTTAATCATTCGAAATTAATCATTGCGTTAAGAAAATACAAAGTTATCATTTTATTTTAATAACGTTACCCCATAGTAAGATTTTCTCCTTTGTCGTGTGTGCGTTTAAAAAAATACAAGTTCACAGACACATCACACGACCCGGAACAACAATCTGCGAATCACACAAAGAGTTGCTCCGTGCGGGAATCGAACCCGAAGCCACAAAGACATGTATAACTCGTTTTCAATAAAAACAAATGTCTCCCCTATCGATTTTTTAAAGACTTTATCTTATTTTTTATTGTGCATAAAAAAACTGAGTATATTCTTAACGCAATTATAGAATTATAGTAAATTATTTTTTCATGATGATACCACAGCCAATTTTTAATATTAGTAGGTTAAGATGAAATAGCCAATCACGGACGAGAATGTATGAATTAATTTTTGTGTTATATTGTTATATTTAAGCCTTTGATAAAAAAATACTGCCAATTATTGAGCGCTAGCTATAAATACCAATTCACAAAACATCTATTTATATTTACTTTTTTCTTTTGTGATTTTTTTAAAATAATTGTGGATGTGTTTCTATGTTTTTATAATTACTATCATGAGATACTAAATTAACTAAAAATCGTGGGTTACTCACGTGAAAAGCTGTACTAGTTTCGAACCACGGAGGGGTTCTTCCTCATGAGCAGCGTGCGCGGTCGCGGCGATCTCGCGCAGCCTACTCGAAACTAGTAGAGCTTTTCTCAGTATATTAACGTGAGTAACCCGCCATTTTTAGTTAATGATGTGTTTCTAGTTTTATTACGACTTTAAGGTGACAAACAAATGTACAATATACCTAATAAATAGGTAATAATAATAAATTTGTATAATTTTCGTAATTTTTCTATTATAAAATATTTTTTTATAGAAGCATCTCTATAAGATTCAAAGGTTAAAAAATCGTTTTTGTACACACGGCTACACATCGAGCTTTACAAAGCCAGTATAAACTGATCGTTAAATGTGCGGAAAGATGATGCGACGCGACACCAGGATAAACTGGTTTTGTATAGATTGATGTGTGGCCGTGTGTACTAAATCTAATAATTTCCAAAAACCTAAAGATCATTTTATCATTCATCTACACTTAAGTACATAACCAAAAAGAAAAAAAAGAAAAAGAAACACATCCACAACTACAAAAAACCACAACAACGACAACATCAAAAACTAAAAAAAAATAAATAATGCTCGTCACAAAAAATTAATGCTCGTCACAAAAAATTAATGCTCGTCACAAAAAATGATTAATGCTCCAAATTACCGATGATGGCTTTGACGACATCCGTTGATGAGGCTGTTCCTCCAAGGTCCGGAGTCATGATGTGGTCTTCATTGATGGTCTTAGCAATGGCTGCCTTGATCAAGTCAGCGTGGAAGTGGTGACCGAGGTGTTCCAGCATGTCTACTGAAGCGTTGATCATGGCTATAGGGTTTGCTATGTTCTTGCCGGCTATGGCAGTTCCTGAAAATGGGAAAAGCGTGATTAGTATTATTTTTCGGATGATTTCAAAAAGGATAGGTTGTGTGGATTGCTTGTAAGCGTTACTGCTAAGCAAAGGCTGCACGGTTGGCGCTGTGGTTGGGCAACTGGCTAACGTGTCGCGGGTTCGGTTCCCGCACTGAACAACTCATTGTCTGATCCACAGGTACTTAATCAAAAATAAATCATTTCGACTGTTCAATACAACGAAATATAAAAAAATTATCACATTTTCATTAATTGATTTTATGACCAACTTAATTTATACCATATAAAGTCCTCATTAATACAAATTAATCAAGCCGAAACACAAGGTAGTTAATATAAACCGCTGAGGAGTTCCCTCGACTGTCTGTCGGCTCCATCATCAGGCCGACTCCATACCCTTATCAAATTGTAGTGTTTAAAAATTGTAATTGAAAAACATAATTCTCGCATTACTCGCCTATAGAATTTTCGAAAGTTCCCCTCGGTTTCCCTAGGATCCCATCATCAGATCCTGACCTCATGGAAATGGGACCATCTCGGGAGTATACCCTTGTAAACAAAACAAGAATTTTCGAAATCGGTTCACAAATGGCGGAGTACTGCGCGAACAAACAAAAAAAAAACAATCAGCCGAACATAGTACCTCCTCCTTTTTTTTGAAGTCGGTAAAAAATATAAGATTTATATCCAACATACCAGTATTCCTGGTGCCAGGTTCGAAGACAGCGTAGTGGTCGCCGTAGTTCCTGCCTGAATGTAGCCCGGCGCCGCCGAGGATGCCGCAGACGACGTTGGACACGATGGAACCGTACAAGTTGGTCATTAACATCACGTCGAACTGGTGAGGCCTGGAATATTGAAGTTGTAGTAGGTATATAATTAACACTAGCTACTTCCGCGCAGTTGCACCCGCTCTGCACGGTTCCTATGGATCGCATCGTGATGTTTTGTAGCCTATAGCCTTCTTCGATAAATAGACTATCCAACCCAAAAAGATTTATTCAAATTGAAACAGTAGTTCCTGAGATTAGCGCGTTCAAACAAACAAACACTTTAGCAAGTATTAATAAGTAGATATTTTTTTCTCTGGGGATGTGCACTGAGGGTTATTTGTTCCAACTATGTTGTTATTGAAACTACGTCAGAAGAAGAAGCATGAAACTGCATGGTTTAGGCAGTGGTGGGGTAACTGGCTGCCGCGCAACGTGTCGGGTCGGGTATTGCTGGGTTTAAAAAAATTCTCAGTAGTAGCACGGAGTCTGGAAATGTGTCCGGTATATGGCAATAGGCTCACCCCCTATTACATGGGACTCATAACATAAATAGTGGAATGTGGGTGTTACATTGTGTACAGTGGCATAATGTGTACCTCTGCCTACCCCTTCGGGGATAAAAGGCGCGATGTTATTTTATGTTTTTTTTTTTTATATTTCATAGGCCGACCTTTAACCACTACCTATCTCATAATGCACACTTCTTTCATATCCAGGAATCAAAACCCAACACCTTAAGTCTAGACCTCTCGCGCGCCACTCGTACACACGGGTAAACGCGCGTTCTCGTACCCACGGGTAAATATTTTAATAGAAAAGCGAATTAACTATTCTGTTCAATCAAATAAAGAACGGGTTGCAAACTTGACAATATACGTCACAGAAAAAATATCCAATCGGTGCGCGTTTCTCGTACACCCGTGTGTACAAACAATTGCGCGACGGGCACTCAACTCTCTCGTACACCCGCGTGTACAATTGCGCGATGGGCACTCAACTCTCTCGTACACCCGCGTGTACAATTGCGCGATAGGCACTCAACTCTCTCGTACACCCGCGTGTACAATTGCACGATGGGCACTCAACTGTCTCGTACACCCGCGTGTACAATTGCGCGATGGGCACTCAACTCTCTCGTACACCCGCGTGTACAATTGCGCGATAGGCACTCAACTCTCTCGTAACCCGCGTGTACAATTGCACGATGGGCACTCAACTGTCTCGTACACCCGCGTGTACAATTGCGCGATGGGCACTCAACTGTCTCGTACACCCGCGTGTACAATTGCGCGATGGGCACTCAACTCTCTCGTACACCCGCGTGTACAATTGCGCGATGGGCACTCAACTCTCTCGTACACCCGCGTGTACAATTGCGCGATGGGCACTCAACTCTCTCGTACACCCGCGTGTACAATTGCGCGATGGGCACTCAACTCTCTCGTACACCCGCGTGTACAATTGCGCGATGGGTACTCAACTCTCTCGTACACCCGTGTGTACGAGAAACACGCGAGAGGTTAATTATCGTCTACTCACTTGGAGACAAGCTGCATGCAGCAGTTATCAATGATCATATCATTGTGTTCAATGTCCGGGTACTCCTTGGCGAGGCGGCGCGATGTTTCCAGGAACAGACCGTCGGACAGCTTCATTATATTGGCTTTGTGGACTGTTGTCACCTGTGGATATGAAATGTTATAATTACTAGCTTTTACCCGTGGCTTCGCTCGCGTCACAAAAGGATAAAAAGTAGCCTATGTGACTATACATCCCCTCAACTATCTTCAGTTAAAAAATCACGTTAATTAGTACCTCCGTTCTGCCGTTTAAGACAGGCAAACAAACAAATAGCTTTCCGCTCGCGTGGAATTCGGTTATATCGCGCTATTTAGATTTTTCTATTAAGTAGATAATTCGTTGACTGGTTTTAAATGACATACAAGGCCATCTATACGAATAAACACACAGCGCCATCTATACCAATATTTTTGTTTTCCCTCAGAAATATCAAATTTTTCCGGGATAAAAAGTACCCTAATTATTTAATTCAGACTTCTAACTTTACCTCTGCAAAATAGTAGTTTCGGCGTGAAATCGGAACAAACAAACTCACTTTCCGATTTATAATATAAGTAAGGAAGTAATGATGTACATTCAGATTAATGGTGAACAAGGTAAAAAATTGGGACTAATGTATTAAGACTGCCTCGTTGGCCGAGTGGTCGGGTATTACTGGGTTTAAAAAAATTCTCAGTAGTAGCACGGAGTCTGGAAATGTGCCCGGTATATTGCAATAGGCTCACCCCCTATTACATGAGACTCATAACATAAATAGTGAAACTGAAAAGTGGGTGTTACTTTGTACAGTGGCATCATGTGCACGTCTGCCTACCCCTTCGGGGATAAAAGGCGTGATGTTATTATTATTATTATGTAAGAAACACTTTTCTGAAAACCACATTAAAATCGGTTCAGTCAGTCGCGAGATAAGCGCGTACATACATACATACATACATACATACAGGTGAAAATGGGAACCTCGTTCCTTTTTGAAGTCAGTTAATCATCCGAACATAATATCCCTCTTTTTTGAACTCGGTTAAAAATCTACACTACCTTCTTCCGATTATTCCTCTTGGCGAACTCGAAAGCGAACCGTGCCACCCTCTCCGAGTTACTGGCAGTGACCACCTTCATGGACTCGATCACACCCTGTACGGACTCGTGCTCCAACATGGCGTATTCACCTTCTGTGTTCTGTCTGTAAAGATAAAAGATATTCATTTTTCAAAAATGTGGAGACAAATTAGATTTGTGAAACAAGTGAATTTATTTCTGCAAACAGGCTACAAGGCAGCACTATTACACGTCAATTTTATCAAGCGAACGATGAGGTCGACATTTCCTAACTGACTACTCGAGAAAAAATGCCGAAACAAACTCAGAGGTCTGTCTCTTTTAAAGTCCAGACAATATGTATAACAGATTATGTGTGAGAACCGTGCAATTTACAAATAATAACGTAAAATTTAAAAATGTTGAACAATGTATGTGTCCAGTGGAGCCGAACCAACATGCTGCCAAGCATTCTTATCTTCAAGATAGGTCAGTTTGTAGTAAGCTCGATTACATAATTCAGTTTTAAATTTACTTTCAATAAACTGTCAAACACCGTGAGGACACCGGTGACCGCAACCTAACCTTGTTCTTTGATTGTGTCTATAATGATGGTACTCAAAGGGTTAAGTACTAGACATAGGTACATACCTGATAATATGTATATCAATATCTTTATGCCTGGTAGTGATACCGGGGAAGGACTTGCAGTGCAGCACATACGCGTACAGGTCCAAAGAGTTGCGGAGTGCAATGTTACGGGATGTCACGTAGGCGGCTTCACTCTTGGTCTCGATGTTACCCTGGAAAAATTGAGAAAAGATTTTATCGTCATCATCATCATCATCATATCAGCCACAGGATATCCACTGCTGAACATAGGCCTCCCCCAAAGACTTTCAGATAAGCCCGGTTGGAAGCAACCTGCCTCCAGCAGCTCCCTGCGACCTTAATCAGGTCATCTGTCCACTTTGCGGATGGGATGAAAAGAGATTTGATAGTTATAATTTGGATATTTTAACTTTAATATTATTTTTATGTTATTGTTTTCGTAAGACATGCGGGGCGCGGAATGCTGTTCATGAATGTGAGCCTCCAACATGGCTTGAAACTAGTCGAGTTCCTCGTCAAACAGTTACGAGAGTAAGCCGAAAAACATAATAATTAATATTATTTTAAGTAGTAAGTGTAAAAGGACAATGGTTTTTTTTCCAATAACCTTCTGATGTCAATATGTGCATATTTTATTTTTGTTGTATACTGCTGATACTTTATCTGACAATAGCCTCATTGTTTAACGTCATTATTGGCATCTCAGATAATAACAAAATATGACCAAAATATAACATCACGTGAAGAAGCTTCTAGATTGTCTTAGAAAGTACAAACCTCGGAAAATGGTGGCAGCCCTATGGGGTTGCCACCTTTTTCTTTGGTATTTAAAGTACATTGACGATTATAGGTAAGAAAAAAAGTACACAGTACAAAAATAAAATACAAATTATTCTTATTTAGTACTATATTTAAAAATATTTGTTTTATTGCTTTTTGCAGTTTGTATTACATTAGTACCTTTACTAAACAATTGCATTGAAATACTAAACAATTGCATTTTTACTAGAAATAAATCTAAGTGGCGCTGGCGAGTTATCGATTCAACATAAATCGATAAATATCGATATCGAATCGATAAGTTTACCGAAAAATACTTACGACTTTAATAGAAATGAAGTTTGCAAAAATAAAGTATTTTCGTGTACTTCATTATTCTTATAAAGTATAGAGTACAATTACCTTAAATAACGTACAATACTTTATTATAAAGTACGGGTGGCAACCCTACTCATGTATGAGAAGCAGGCGTCTTAAACGTCCGGGCCACCACGACACTTACTCATCTTATATCTTATACTATTATATAAAGCTGAAGAGTTTGTTTGAACGCGCTAATCTCAGGAAGTACTGATCCGATTTGAATAATTATTTTTGTTTTGGATAGGCCATTTATCGATGAAGGCTATATAGGCTATAAAACTTCACGCTAAGATACGCGCGGAAGTACTTACCTAGTTTTTTAATGTCTCTGTAGTGAAGTATTTTTTCTCAATAGTAGCACGGAGCCTGGAATTGTACTCGGTATATGGCAATAGGCTCACCCACAAAAGCGAAAAGTGGGTGTTACCCCCTGGCCACAGCCAAGCGCGGCGCGAATTGCGGCGCGACAAGCGGTGAGCGGGAAAAACAAATGGTAGACAACGTATGAAGTATGCCACAGCTAACGGCGACGCGAATTGCGAAGCGACCTGCGGCGCGAAAAGCGTCGCGCGGCATGCGGCGGCGACGGGCGGCGCGGTGTGCGAGTGAAACAAATGCACTGGGGAGTATCGAGGCGGCCACAGCCAGAGCGGCGAATGCAGCGACAGCGAGGGGACGTATTTGTGTTCGCGCGAACTGAACAAACTATTTTGAAAATTTCGCTCCGCATCAAATGGATACCGAAAAACTTATTAGTGAGAAATTGATAGTTAGATTAGATAGTTTGGATAGTTCCTATATTCGTGATAAAGCGTGTGAAATTCGCCAAGGTTTTTCATTTTTTCATTAACTGGGTGCGTTCCAATTTTAGAGTTAATGATATCTTGAGCTAAAAACGCATTTAGTCTCAAGACAATATCGTGCCACTTTTGATAGGGCCATTATAAATAATACTGAGTACATCCACCGCTGACGCCGCCGCGGTCGCAACTAGTCGAGCTGTGGCATACCAACGCAAATCGCGTCGCCCGCCGCGCCTCCCGTCGCACCGCGCGCCGCACCGCTAGAAGCTGTGGCCAGGGCCTTACATTGTATAGTGGCTCTAAGTGCCGTGACGTGCACCTTTGCCTACCCCTTCGAAAATAAAAAGGAGGAAATGTTATGTGAAATTACTCATACCTTAAGACAAACACCGTTCCTCTTGATAGTGGTGATGGCGTACTGCACATCCTCATCGTTGTCCACATTGGGATCAATGTCCACTACCTCAAAGTCTACTGGAGCTCCGATGTATCTGGAAATAGCACATTTAACGTTAAAAAGTAGTCTAGTGAACGACTACAGAATGGTACCAATATGGGTTGGCTCGACTGGAGTGATACCACGGCCTCACCGAAAACCGACGTGAAACAACGCTTGCTTTGTGTTTAGTCGTGCGAGTAAGGTTACTGGAGGCCCAATTGCTCCGCTTTGCAATCTCCCCAATCTCTGAATCTCCAACAAATCTCAAATAACTAATCCCCAGAAGGCCCGTAATGCAATTGTAACACCTCTGGTGTTTTGGATGTCCATGAGCGACGCCAATTGCTTACCATCAGGTAATCAGGTGATCCGTGTGATTGTGTACCGGTTTATTCCACAAAAAAAAAATATTCTCAATTTTTTTTATTTATTATATCTTGTAAGCACATATATTTATTAAGACTGGCTTAAGCGTCGTATTGTCTGCTTTTCTTTTGTTCTCCATCATACTATACAATATTTTACATAACACATTAATACTTGTAATTCTAAGTACTACAGCATTATCTATCCAATTAGTACTTGAAGTATGGTTATTTATTAATATAATTTATGACGAGTACTAAATTAATCTAAGGCCATATTTATTAGAAGAAAAGTGATAAGAAACCATTAATGAAAGATGATAGACATAATAATTTAACCTTTTCACCGCCACGGTCAGCTATAGCCAACAAACTAAATATACATACAATACAAATTATGTTTTCTTGTCAGCTGTGACCAACTGTGACGGATCATGTCATATTTTGTTTGTCGGCTATAGCTGACAGTGGTGTTCAAAAGGTTAAACTGTCAAACACGAAGCGGTCACCGGTGACCGCAACCTATTGTTCTTTAATTGTGTCTATAAATACGGTACTCGACGAGTTAAAAGCTTATTCATTAATCGGACTGTTTGGACAAAGGTCTTTTCTCACACGGAGAAAGAATGGATATTACGCAAAGCCATATTAGCCCTAAGGTAAACTAGACAAGTAGAGTGGCAGCCATTCCTAAAGGAATTAGGGGCTATAAGATGGTTGCCTATGGTGCTCTCAAGGTTTAATTCAACCCTGGCATTTACATTAGCTAAAACTTCTAAAGAGGTTGGTTTAACAAGTATGCAAGCAAGTTTGGGCTATAATATTAGATACTGTGCATTAAAAGCTTCACCTAGTTTCACTGATGGACTGACTGACAGACTACCTATTATTTATTTTGTATTTGTTGATGTTTCAAAAGTACCAAACTATGGTGTAATTAAAATAAATGCTTTGACTTTGAAAATGTGTTAGATACCTTGGAGATTGATCAGAAATAAGGCAGCTGTGCGGACAGTCTTAACTGACCTTGTCGGACCAGTGTACTTGTATGACCAGAAGCACAAAATGTGCATATGGGAAGCCTAAGGAGTATGCAAGGATCTTAGAGCGCATGTGTGTGTGTGTGCATTTAAAATAAAAGAGAGGTCACATGAGGAAAATCATTGTTTTCAATTAGTCTTGAATAAAACCGGACCTGTATTATGTTACACAATTAAATTGTTAAATGTAAGGTTATATTTACATTGACAGAGGGAAAATTAGCACTATTGCGTCTCAACTAACAGATAGAACAAACATACTGCGTGTTAATCTGAATAAGGTAAAGTACAGCTGTTTTCAGACACCTAATAAAAGGGTTGTCACAAAAAGGTTATGTCTTACTTAAAAATGTCTCTGACGTATCCCATGCACTCTGGACCGATTCCTCCTCCTGGGAGCATGGTAACTGCGTGACGGCCTCCATAGTGAGCCTTCGGGACGAGGTGCTGCTTCCTCACCACAGGAGTTTTGTGTTGCACATCGAAATCTGATAACGTCGCTGGTGCCGCTGCAGAACTAAGGTTTACGACACCACGGAGCTCAGGCCGCACATTCAATTTACTCAGTAATCTCAGAGCCATCGCGAATTTAGCGCAAATTTCTTGGCTCAAACTATTAAATAATCACAGGAAGAGGAAAACGGAAAATGTCAAAGATTGATATTTTTCACCGTCAGATGGTGTTGCTCTGTCAAACTTCCATAAAGATGGCAGCATTGGGATTGTTTGACAGTTGTTCTAAAGCTTTCTGTTTATAAACATTACAGAATTTCTTGGAAAATAAATGTAAATACCTCATATTTAGTGCTTATGTTTACACAGATATCTTAAATATTATTTATTGATTATATTATAATAACGATTTGATTAGATTTCCCTGTTTTTCTAAAATAAATAATTCTGAAACTACGGTGACACAATTTTTACTATGGCAACATTTTATGCATGACACTTTTTTTCTAAACGACTTGGTGTTGCTTTTCCTTTCTCGGTGGAGTTTGCACCAAAGAGTATAATAAGTATAGGGGTAAAGAGTTACCACTCGTCAAAATTTATGCCAATCAATTTGAAACGCCATCTGAAAATTGAATCCTAGTATATTTTTTTTTTTACTAATGTCTACAGATAATCCTAAGTATAGCTAATGCCAATACTACCAACAATGCACCTTGCAGGTTGATACATTGAAGGTAGTATTGGAATTAGCTATGTCTGGTAGCTGCAAAATCAAAGAAGTTATTAATTACAATATTACATTTATTTTACAGTAAATACAAATTAACATTTAAAAATTATCAGCTAGTAGGGAAATATCAGACGACAGATTTGTTCAAAGTATAATTCAAATTTTAGTTCTTTTTAATTTTATGTTTACAAATTTCAGATATAAATATGTCGTTCAAAATTTATTTGAATTAGTTATTTTTTTAATTATTGATCCCACAAAGAACTAAAATTAAAAATATTTACTGTTCACCGTTGTTTACACAGTACCTAATAGTAGTTAACAATCTAATGATATAAATTAACCGTAATACCTACACAAATGTAGTACATTTTACCATCGATTTGAATCGCTTACAGTATTTACAAAAACACAAAATTATTATACAATTTACATAACATACATAACATCACGCCTTTTTATCCCCGAAGGGGTAGGCAGAGGTGCACATTTCGTCACTCAATGCCACTGTACAATGTAACACCCACTTTTCACTATTTATGTTATAAGTCCCATGTAATAGGGGGTGAGCCTATTGCCATATACCGGGCACATTTCCAGACTACTCTACTACTACTGAGATTTTTTTAAAACCCAGTAATACTTTGCCCGACCCGGGTATCGAACCCGAGACCCCTTGCCCGGCAGTCGCACTTATTATTATAATGTCGAAAAATATAGTGCTTAAAAATAAGTCTCAGTCTGCCTCTCAGTCAGTCTCAGTTTTTTAGTACTTTTTTTGCTAGTTGCTAATAATGCCTGACTTAGTCGTTTCCTATGTCTAGTTATATTACAGTCGTTTTTACTAAACAACTACAGATTTTTCCTATCCTCAAATATAATATTTTTATAACATTATAATGAAACAAAGTAATATAATTATTATTATAAATACAAATGAAAATGAAACAGGCAAAATAATGTGGGAAATCCCAATTCAGACAGACTTCACAGTTGCCCACAACAGACCGGACATAATATACACAAACAAAACATCCAACACCACATACCTCTTTGACATAACTGTACCATATGTAACTACAACATAGGAGCAAAAGAAATTCAGTAAATACCACTTTTTAAAGACACAACTCAAGGCTAGACGCCTTGAAATATTGAAACGCATGTTAATTCTATAGTAATTGGAGCCACAGGAGTAGGTACTAGCCAAAAGCCTCAGCAGATACACAGACAAACTAGAAACATAAATAGACATTAGCCACCATTCACACAATAATCATTCTTAGCAAAGTACTAGGAGACACAGTTTTCGTCACATACATTCCAGATTCCGATCAATTACAACCATCTCAAGCGCAAACACCACATACCACTCAGTCAACCATCACATGAAGCTCACAATCCACATCTGGCACACAAACTACACCCAGTTAGTAGTCAAGTAGTCAGCAGAAGAGAAAGAAGGAGATTTATAAGTCAAATTTAGAAGGGGCTATGAGCATCGTTTTTCCTGCGGGTTGCGGGAAGCGGTGCCCATTTTCACCAGGTCAAGCCCAAGAAGGAGAGACCTCTACATATATGAATACAAATAAGTAAAACCTAGAATAATGCTGCCAGTCTTTTGGGCACCCTACTCCACGATAGCGATGAAAAAGAATTTTTTGATGCCCTAAGGTAACATTTTTTTTAAGGTGTGAATATGTACCTATTTTAGTTTATTTATAATTTAATATTACTTTGTTGTGCGTAGGTACTTAAAATGTTGTTCTAATTATGATATATACATTAATACAAAGATAAAAATAGTTTTACAAAAATAATACGGCTTTAATATTTGCAGCGATCTATGGGTTTCTTGTTTCTTGAGACAACAATATACGTCTGAATGTTAGAATAATTCCAAATAGTACCTGAAAAAAAAACAAAGATTATTTTTACATGCAGAAATATGTATTTTATTTATTTGTTTTCTTTTATTTATCTAAGGTAGGTGTACCTTACGTGATATTACTGATGTTACAAGAATAATATAGTATTTACCATCTCTAAAATAGGTTTCAAGCACTGCTGGTATAGATCGGCACTTTATCCGGACATCGTAAGACTCGTAACTGCCGATAAAAAATTGCACTATTGATATTCTGCAATGATGATGCTGAAGTAATATCGATGCAATAGCAATTCCAAATATCACTGTAACAAATATACAAAAGAAAAAGTAGAAATTTATAAAAACTACATAGTTTGGTATCTCAATGAATCAAATAAAATGTATAAATAGGTTCAATAGCAAAAATCATAAACTTGTTGTAGGTTTTACCTTCAGCAACATGATTGTATTCTTCGTATTGATGTTCTTTATTATAAATAAGATATATACGCAAATTAAAGCGTTCCTTTGTAAAATCAAGTCCAATGAATAGACAAACAAACACAATGTACTTTTGTGATTTGTGATACACATGTATACAAAAGGTCCTTTATAGAAAACACAACACGCATCGCAGAACTTCCTTTTTTAGAAAAACAATCACAAAATCCCATCACAAATTATTAAATAATTTAAAATATTTTTGGCAAAAATTTTTACAATTTTGACATTTCAAATTTTTGTTTTTGTTTCTTTTCTTTATCAAGCAAAAAGTATACATATTATATGCCAGTATTAAAATAGTACAAACTACATGCATACTATTTTATAGAAATGGAGATAATATAAAAAAGTATATCAATATCTAATTATTAACAATATTATTTTAATAGTTATTTATTATCTAAATAATTTGGAAAATTATTATTGTAATGTTTTAATATTTTTTTAGCCCCAGCGTTGCCGTAAAAAATAATAATTTGACAATCCATATAGTACAAGAGCCTATGAACCCCAGACCTTTGTTATTTATAACGGACTTAAAAAAAGGAAAAGTTATATACCTATAAGGTTTTTTTATGTTCCTTCAGGGATGACTTCGTCGTTTTTTAACGTATTTTGATGATTCTTTTTTAACCGACTTTAAAAAAGGAGTATCAGTTTGACCTAAATGTATATACATATGTTACAGCCAAAGTGATTAATTTGATATTATTCGTAATGACTAGCATTATGAATAATTCTTCGAAAACTTGGATAAAGTAAATCAGCAAATGGAAATGAACAGGGCTGACGTCTGCACAAAATTTTGAATTTATCGTCATGGGTGTCGTTTTCATGGTTTTCGAGGGTGATAAAGCCGATGGTCCTGTCAAATTGTAAATCCAAGATGGCGTGCGCACAAAATTTTTCAATTTATCGTCATGGGTGTCCTTTTCATGGTTTTCGAGGGTGATAAAACCGATGGTGTTGTCAAAATGTAAATCCAAGATGGCGTCTGCACAAAATTTTGAATATATCGTCATGGGTGTCGTTCTCATGGTTTTCGAGGGTGATAAAACCGATGGTGTTGTCAAAATGTAAATCCAAGATGGCGTCTGCACAAAATTTTGAATGTATCGTCATGGGTGTCGTTCTCATGGTTTTCGAGGGTGATAAAGCCGATGGTGCTGTCAAAATGCAAATCCAAGATGGCGGCTGTACGAAATTTTCAATTTATCGTCATGGGTGTCGTTTTCATGGTTTTCGAGGGTGATAAAGCCGATGGTGTTGTCAAAATGTAAATCCAAGATGGCGTCTGCACAAAATTTTGAATTTATCGTCATGGTGTCGTTTCATGGTTTTCGAGGGTGGTAAAAGATGGTGCTGTCAAAATGCAAATCCAAGATGGCGGCTGCACGATATTTTCAATTTATCGTTATAGGTGTCGTTTTCATGGTTCTCGAGGGTGGTGAAAATGATGGTGCTGTCAAATTGTAAATCAGAGATGATGACTGAACGAAATAGAGTTAGTGCATTTATCGAGAAAGATTAAGTATGTGTGTGAATGTGTGTGTGTGTGTGTGTGTGTGATAGAGAGACAGAAAGAATGCGTGCAACCTATTTTATAGATTTTCTATGAAAATTGAGTATTTTCATATAATACCTATTAGTTTTTATATGTATAATAAAAACGGTGGCCTAGACCTGAGGTTCACAGGCTCTTAGGTTAATGCTTTTGGATGCAGAAACCTGACGCAGTCACTTCATAGAGTTTAGTTTGTCATCCATCACTTAATATCTTTTTAATCTCTATTATTAGTAAAGAGGCTGTCATCTTTGATCGATTATGCCAGCATAACTGTCATTTGATCTAAGTTTAAGGAATTATTTTGTAAAAATTGCAATATAGTATTAAATAAATGTGTATAATGTTATTTTACTATTTCCAAAAAATATTATTTTAAGCCTAAATTTTAAAATAATGTTGCAACCTTGCTTGGAACTGTGTGGCCACTGAAAATATTAGTTTTGACAACATTTAAT